TGGTGATAACAAAACTGGATTTTAATGAATCACCAAACTTTATTTTCCCAAATATCAAATCATCTTGGTAGACATTTATCTAATCATAGTTAAAATACGATACTTTATATTTACACTGGTTTTGAAAGTAAGTCGAAGGCATCTTAGATTAGGAAGCAAAGCAGCGCGGATGTTGGCACGGCGGAAGCTAGGAAAAGGAATGACGTAGTTTTTTGGAAAGCAGTATTTATACCGAGTAGATGCATAAGTATATCTGAGCTGTGATTGGTTAATTTTAGGTTATTGCGTAACGTGGAAAGATCTCGAATTTGGGAGAACAGATGACCTTACGGGGAGAACACCAAATTTAGAATAGCTAATTTTGAGGTTGCCAATTACTTCTTAGAGCAGCCATCGTATTTTGTTATATCTTAGATAATTATTAATTTTTGAAAATACTTTATTCTTCAAATGAATATCAGTTCAAGCACATGTTTTCATATTTAGCCGATGTGTGCGGTATCATAGCTCAGTTTATGCATTAAATAGTTTATTACTGACACTCCAAAATTCAGACTCTTTGCTTTAGACACTTAATAGTCGCTAATAAAGTTATAGAATATGCACTAGTTTCTTGTGGGCCCAGCCATTGGTTTCACATTGAGGTAAAAATCAAGAAAATTGCCTAATTGATATTTTTTAAAAGGAGATGAAGAATTTGTTTTACAATATTTATAACTTTCATAATTTTAAAGATTGATTTAAAAAAAGAAAGAAAATAGCTTTTATAAAGAAGTCCAACGTATTCAAAAACGTTTTGGAAAAATTATTTATTTATGTTTTATTATCAATTTGTTTATCATTTATTTTTGTTAGAGAAAGCAAAAAGGGTTTTTTTTTCTTCCCCTAAACCAGTTGAAATATCCAAAATTTTAAAACCGACATATTTTTGGATGTTGGAATTTTAAAATAACAGATATGAAATTGCAAAAAAATAAATAAATAAAAATAATTAAAAAAATCTCAAAGGTTTCAGATTTTAAATTACATGTAAAGGGGCGTTTTTTTTTACATTTTGTGTGTTACATTTATTTATTTCACGTTATTAAATTCACGTTCTTTGCACTTAAACGATAAAATTCAGTTCAAGAGCAGTATCGCAAAATAGTTTTAAAATGAGCCTATCTTTAGATTTTCCGATACAGAGACTCGCGCGCTGGAGATAAAAATGTTTTTCCTGTACAACGTAGCCATTGCTCACTTTGAAATCCTCGAGGATGTTAATCTAAAATTCGTTAAGTTTTATCAGATATGAAATCAATAATAAACCAACTTCCAAATTTCAAATTTGGGCTTCCAGATGCCCCTATTCGCCGCAGGATTACGTCATTCAACGTTGGATGGCTCTAGGTGACGTTGTTTTATCACAATGCGAGAAACATACATACATTTATGCAGATTCTTCATTATTTAATTTCTTCCAATATAATACAGGGCGATAATATTGGGTGGCAACAGTTAGAAAAGTGAGACGGGCATTCAGAGTGCTTGGACGCAAAATCGCAAAACGAAAACAATAGTCCCTCAGGGACAAAGCCCTTATGGACTAAAAAGATTGAGAGATTTTCAAAAAGTTGATAACATTAGCTACTACATAAAAATTTTTGGTACAAATATCATTTAAAAGATTTTCGCTGCTCCATCCAAAGGTGCAAACAACAAATTCTGAGATTTTTCAGTTTTTCGGGAGGGGGGGGAATTGTGCATAAAATCGGCTTGAAATCATAAAACATTAAATAAAAGAAATCTAAACCAAATTTTGAGAAAATCGCTTAGAGGCTTACACCTTTATTGTCCGGATAAAATATGCTCCAAATTCCTATCCGTCTTTGCTCTAATGAACTCCCACATTCACAGATTCTTCATATTATAATAATGGGGATTACTAGCGTAAGAATCAACATGCTTCTGGAACGCTTCGTGGGTAATTTCCTTTCAAAACATTGATCTGCATATGGCAATATATTTTTAAGAAATGGTAATTAACAGGATTTTATATATTAATGCAGAAAGGCATTTTAAGTCGTATTAATCCTGTCGGATTCTAACGAAAGAAATTAACTAAAAGCATCTTTAAATAGGATTTAACGCATAACAAAAGCAGATAGTATTAGAAGAGTGCGAGTTAATGAATTAACTAGAGCTGTGGCCAAGTTCAGTGAATTATAGAGAAAACTGGGAAGAACGAAAAATTTTTCAAACCTTGCACGCAAATGGGAACGCTGAAGAGAGACGAACCTTCGATGATCTAAATGCGAAATAAATATTGAGCATCTGGGAAGAAACGCCTCACTTTGTAATGCTATTTATTCTTCGAGGAAGTTGAATATTTACGAAAAATTAAATATATATCCGTCCCGTCAAAAGAGCTTTAAACGGATGAAAAGCCAATGTTAAAAAGTAAGTTTATCTGACCGCAAAGAACACTACTCAAATCTTGCCATAATTGGTATTCATCTTTCGTTTACTGCCATTTTATTTTATTTAATCCTTCAACATAAGTACCCTTTTCTATGACGTTATCACACGCGCCGAGTCAAACTGATTGGTTATTTATTTATGGGAAAGGACTCGAGGCTATCCGCCTGAGCGGGGGATGTCTCCATGAAGGACTTTCTAAGTAAAGTTGGCTCGTATACACGCTACACATCAGGGAAAACCACGGGAGCCCATGGGGTCAGCTCATTCGCCGGGATTCGAACCACTAGACCGAACTACCAGTCTTCAGCAATTTTACCGCTCGGTCGCTGTGTGCCCTAAGTCAATTTGAATATATTTGCTGTCTTGCAGAAATTAAGTATATTAATAATTCAGTGCAAAATGAGTATTTAATTTGTATTCTTTCTGTTATTTTTCTGTAGTTTTGTTGATTTCTGCTCTGGTGCTGAAAACTTAATCGAGTGTATCATGGCTTCTGCATATTGGTTCAGGTGTTGTACAAATAATTTCTGTCTTCCTTTGTTTATTTTGAATCTGACGATTACGGTTGCTTGCTGTCGGTTCGTTGATGTCGAAGGTAACATATTTATGCTCGTATTCGGTGTGATCGTCTCGAAAGTATCTGTTGTGGACTTTATTTGTTAAATGTGGGGACAGGATGAGGAGATCAGTCCAGCCTTGGCTTCGCTTGTTGCCGAATTTTGTAAGTTTGATTGGTTGATTATGAAAGATCAGATCACTGGAATTTATGAATTCTTCCAGTTCCAAACCTCTTGGGTCCGTGTGTGAATAACCCAAAAGCGTACTGTGGGTGATGAAGCCTCCACTGATGACTAGGGGACAAATGAAGCTCTAAATTTGATGGTTGAGTAAATCAAGAATTGGGATGAGCTTTCCCGATGATGAGATGTAAATACTGATGAGCCCAAGGCTGGTTATCATTATTTGTGAGGTTTCGGATTTTATCGAAAAAGTGATAATATCTCGTTGACTTGTAATAATAGTTGGGCTTCGCATTTGCTGTTTGTGAATATGGTCTTTCGACGGGTTGAATTGTTGATACCCTTTTAAAGCATTTGGGAATTCTATCAAAGCAGTATGTCTGTTGCATACAGACGAAGTGTGCTTATTATTCATTAAGTGTTGAGTTAGTTGATCGGTTACGGTTTTAATTTGGTGGTGATTGATCTGTAAGCAGTTGATCGGTGTGTTGTCATTTTGGTGTATACTTGCGCTGTTGAAGAGATATTTACTTGTTTCCGTTGCAGCTACTTTTGATTTAGAATTTGTATGCTATTCTTGTTTTTACTTTCTCTGCTTTTTCTTGCTTTACTCTTTCACGGCACTTCAATAGCACTTCTTTCCGTTTACTTTGTTAGCGTCGTCCAGGAGTAGAAACAATGAAATATATTTTAAAAGACAAGAATTCTTAATTAGATGGTATTATATGCTTACATCTAATGTCCATATAAATCTCTTTTTATGATCATTCAGATAACTTCACTCACAATATTAGTGCTTCGAATTTTACTGGTCTTTGATACTGTTAACAGAAGAGCTTCGCCCACGCCCGCACAACGTCAAGAGGGAGTGTAGTTGGTTGTGGTAGTCGTGCCGAGACAGATAAGCATCGTTGTATTATTTGTAGCGTAGGGTTCAGTTGCTTCACACATGTCACCGTCGATCGACGCATAGATGACACCCATTTTTTGTTTGTTTAACAATAAACTTTAATAAGTAAACAATTCTTGATTATTATACATTATATGTACAAGCATGAATAGGTAAGTCCGGCATGGTCTCCGCCGGATGAGAAAAAACAATCTCTCCATGACGAAAGAAAATGGCGATTCTCATCCGCCCAAAAAAAAACTCCGGACCGTCCCGTCCGACAACCAGGGTGCAAAGTCCTCTTCGCCCCCCTCGTCTTCTTGTTCGTCCTTTCTCCTTCCGTCCAACGAACCACCTGCTCCGTCGGACTAATTATTTCCGCTGGCTAGGCTTTTCCTTCTCCTTCTCGGGTTATGGGCATTACACACGCCCCCACCAAGATGAAGATTTGCCTCTTAAAGGCTAATTTTCACAACAGGTTCAACCGAACCGTTCAGCGTTCATTAGAAATAATGTAGAGTTCATTAGATACAAAACCCAGCGTTCATCCTAAGCAATTCCGAATTCGTCAGAATCAGAGTTCAGAGGTTTATTAGTTGACACACTTGATTTCATACAAAATGTCAAAGTTCCTGATGGCTGACATGGATACTGAAATTTTTCAGCCCCCTACCCGACCAGGTGCAGGGGGTACTTAGAAAACCAAAATCTGATCAGGATACAAAAGTCTTCTTACCATGTTTTTTCGTTTAACAAATACAAATATTACACTAAACATAACTGCATAAATACATTCTACATTAGACAAACAAACATTTTTTGTTTACCAACATCATTTAAACAAATTATCTCAAAAAGTATTTTAAGGACAAGAATTAAGAACCTCTGAATATCTGTGGTTCCCCCCTTATTCACACCAATCGTGACAACGCATCTGCGGCTCGATGTTGTACTCCTGGACGATAAGTGATTTTTAAATTCCATCTTTGTAAAGAGAGAGCCCAACGCGTTAATTTTGGACTCCTAGGTGTAATTTCAGTGAGATATTTCAAAGGATTATGGTCCGTAATGATTTCCACCGTCCCCCCGAAAATCCACTTATCAAATTTCTTGAGCCCGAATAACACTGCCCAACTCTTCTGAGCCCCAGAAAATTTTTGGGATGCAAAGGCTATTGGTTTAAAATGCCCTTGTGTATCTCTCTGAGTCAGACAACAACCGAAGGTGACATCTGATGCATCCGAATGCACCTGAAATGGTAAATTAAAGTCAGGCGTGGACAGAGACGTCACCTGACACAGCATATCTTTCAACTTCTGGAAAGCCGCGTCTTCAACTTGACCCCACCGTACATTATTCGGCGCATTCTTTTTCGTCAAATCCGTCAAAGGTTCAGCTATCTCGGCATAGTTCGGGATATATGTGCGATAAAATCTCATGAGACCCAATACCGAACGGACTCCCTTTTTATTCGTGGGCCTTTCTAGCACTTTAATTGCTGCAATCTTACTAGGATCTGGGCCGTGTTTGCCGTTTCCTATCTTATGTCCTAGGTAATCTATTTCCTTAGCTGCAAAATCACACTTACTGAGCCTGACAGAAAATTTTAACTGTTCCAGTATCTTAAGGATCGTTTCTAGATGCTTCAGGTGTTCTTCAAACGTGTTTGAAAAAATTATAATATCGTCTATATATGCTTGGGCGAAATCGCTGTACCGGAAAAGAACCTTATTCATTTCTCTTTGAAAGGTACCTGACGCTCCTGCCAAACCAAACGGCATGACGTTCCACTGAAACGTCCCGTTGTGAGTTGAAAACGCTGTCAGTGGTTTACTTGATTCCTCCATTCCGATTTGCCAGTATCCTCTGCGCATATCTAAACTTGATAGCCATTTTGAATGCCCAGCCACATATATTAATTCATGCATATCCTTCATAGGAAATGCCGGCACTTTAGTGATCGAATTCAATGCCCTGAAATCAACGCACATCCTGATTGTCGCGTCTTTCTTGACCACACACACAACCGGATGGGCTATGTCCGCTTCCGACGGTTCAATGAGACCCAGCTCTAGAAGTTCCTTGACTTGTTTGTCCACCTCTTTGCGATATGCCATTGGAATGCCATAACAATGAGGTTTTTTTTTTCTGTCTGCTCCAGGCATAAGATATCAATCTTATGTTGTCCTACTCTAGCAGGTTGAACATGTCTCAAAAATAAGTTCTTGTACTTTCCCAACAGTAGTTTTAGATCATTAATCTGCTTGTTGTTAAGATTAGTGGTACTTAGATTATTTAACATACTTTCAAAACTACTATCCTGGTCTAAAGTAGAGGGAATATTGTCTACCTCCCCGAACTCTTCCCCGTCAAACATTACATTGATTGCATTTGACCGCACAATGAATTTCCTTATTTTATTTTGATGTACATGCTTAATGCTCCCGTCTGCCAATTCTACTAAAAAAGAGTGTGGGTTTTTCCTTTCCTTTATCACTGCAGGACCCTGCCAACGAGCATATAACCTGTTGCTTGAATCAGGTATGAGGACTACAACCCTATCTCCTATTTCAAAAGTTTTACTCGAAGAGCGCAAATTATAATACTGCGCCATCCTACCTTGTTGGATTTCGCTCGTAAGATCAGCTTGCTCAGCAGCACGTTTCAACCGCTCCTTCAAATCTTGCAAATATTTATGAATTGGCTTCAGATCGAATTTTAATTCGTCATGCTCCCCTAACCATGTAGATTTTAAAATAGATAACGGTCCTTGTGGGGGTCTACCATACAATAGTTGGAAAGGTGATACCCCTGTAGTACTGTTAGGTATTTCCCTGTATGCCCATAATGCGTAAGGTATTTGGACATGCCAAGCTCGACCTTCCTCTCTAATAATATGATGCAACATACGTTTCAAAGTCTGATTAAACCTTTCGACTAAACCATTTGACTGAGGGTACATGGGTGTCGAAAATCTCGGACTGGATCCTAATCTTTTCTCAAATTCCCGTGTTAAGTCTGCGTTAAAATTGGTACCATTATCTGACGCAATCACATTAGGAATTCCGGTCCTGGAGAAAATCTGCAGCAACGCGTCGCAGGTAGTTTTTGCCGTCAGACTGGTTAATGGCACTGCCTCGGCCCATCTAGTATGCTGGTCCACCAAGCACAAAATATATTTATGCCCCTTCGAACTAGGAGGATCTATAGGTCCGATTAAATCTACATTGACAACCTGAAAAGGTAACCCTGGTCTTGCTACTGGAGTAATTGGCGCTCTGTCCTTCACTTTCACTGGCTTTGTTAATTGACAACTTTCACATGATTCGCAAAATTCCTGGACATCTCTTTTCACGTTTTCCCAATAAAAGGAATAACGAATCCTCTCTAATGTTTTTTTAATTCCCATGTGTCCTCCAAACACTGATGCATGCGCGAGCTCTAGAATTTCATTCCTTCTGCATTTAGGAACAACTAATTGCTCTGCACTCTGTCCCAAAATCTTGTCCCGATGAAAAAGAAAACCGTCCCTCACAAAATAATTTCCTTTATCCGTTTTCGCTCTTTCCCACATCTTAGATAAGTCAGTGCATTCTTTCTGTTGCTGACGAAACTCCGTTGTCTGAGATAAATTAGTTGTTTTCTCCACTAAGGGCGCTCCGACATCTGGGATAGCAGCTACGTGGCTTTGAATGTCCGTTTCTAACTTACCCTGAGGTGTTTCTGCCTCTCCCACGTTCGAGGAATCCTTCGATTCGTAGAACCAACCACTGCTACTTCCGTCTCCGTTGAACTGTCGATCTTTACAAGTGTTTTCGCCCCGTAACATATATAACACCTGTGGGGGTAATAAAACATCTTCAACTAAAGATTTTGCCACCGCGCAAAGTATCTCCTGATGCACATTTGTACCCTTTCCATTAATTAGTGCTAAAGGTAATTTTACTAACTCACACCTTCTCGGCGGTCCAAAAATCCCCTTCAAATAAATTGCCGATCCGCTTCCAGATCTAAAATTTGGAATTATACTTTCCTTTACAACCGTTATCTCACTGCCAGAATCGATTAATCCGTTACATTATCCGACCGTTTACACTAACCTGCACTCTATCCAATTTGCATAACTCCTCTTCGATTGATTGTCTAGAAATTTCCTTTCCAAAATGTCCCGCTTTGGCAACAATAACTCTATTCTCTTGAGTTTCGCTAACCTCTCCGCACTATCTACTGCACTTGCTCTGTTCACTTTCGCAAATTTGTCCTTCGTATTTTTATTTTGAGGGCAATCACGCTTAAAATGTTCTCTTGACCCGCATTTGTAACATGCGAAATTTTTCTGAGGAGAGTTTATTTTGCCTCTATTTGACACTGTTGAAGCCTGCTTCTCTGGACCAAGTTTATAGCTTTCTTTTGGCTTTACTTTAATCCTCTCTGGTGATAATCCCTCTTTAATATCATTCTCTTTCCTATAACCCTTAGCGTAAGATTTCCCCGTTGCCGAAAAAAACATATCGCATTCTCTCGCTAACTCCTTTGGTTTCCACCAATTTTCACCTTGCTTAATACCAATATGAGTAGCAGTTTCCGTATCGAGCGTTTCCATTAATCTGTCCGCAACTACTAACTGATTGACAGTTTCCAGATCCGTCGCTCCCCTCAATTTGCAGTAATAACTCCACATAGAATTTAATCTTGTAGCAAACTGAGTAAAATTTTCATCCGGGTTCCTTCTTAGCCCGTTTAAAATTTTCCAAACAAGCCTTAGGTGATGGTTCGTATTCCCGAAGCACTATGGTTTTCAAAGCCTCGTAATCCTCGTACTGTTCTTCCTCTAAATAAGTTAAAAGATGCGCAGCCTTGTCTCCTAACAAACACATTAACACCTTAGATTTTAAATTATCCGCTACTTTCTCACTCGCGAGGGCCTTTTCTAAACTGTTAAAAAAATAATTCCAGCCTTCTGACCCTGCGGGAACCCTCACCGTCAGCAATTTTATAGTTTTCACAATTTCATCCAAACTTTTAACTCTGGGACTCATTGTCGAATCCACCGGACCTTCCGAATTTAGACTCCGTTTTTCCGCTTCGAGTCTTAATCTTTCTAATGCTATCCGTTCGCTTTCTATGCGTAACCTCCCCTCGGCTAGCTCCATATTTTCTTTCTCTTTTCTCTCGGAAATGATCGAAGTTAACAGCTCTTTAACTACATCCTCTTCGTAATTTTTACTTCCCAGAATGATATTTTTTAATTCGATCATTTTTAAATCATCCGAGACAACTTCCCCTAATTCATCGGCCAGAAGTACAAGATCGGCCTTCTTTCCTTTCATTAAATATGCCATAATGAAATATTAAAACAATATGCACAGCAATAAAATCAAAAACTTCACTGATAATTACTATAACATAAGTCATAAAGTATAAATACAGCCACTTATTTTTGTAAAAGAGATATACAAAAATCAACCAGTTATTCTAAAAAAATTATTTTACCTACTAAAATTTAAATATACAAGCATATATGCACTCTAATCAATTATCTGAGCTTTTACATACTTTATGAGTTGATACAAAAAATGACATCTGTCAGTTAAATGTTACAACAATCCTTTTAACAAATTTTAGTACTTTACCTCAGAATAACTTTACATTTGATATGAAACAGTAATAAAACCGTAAATAGTATTTGCAGTAAGAAAAAATATCACTGAAAATTACTCTTCACTAAATACACAGTTCCCTAAATTATTCATACGACAAAAACACATACAAAAGTTTACATACATAAAATATATATATAACACTTAAATTCTACCGAGCTTCCACCATTTCCGGAGCTCCAAAACCAGAATTTCAATTGACCTGTGTTATGATACCCCTAAACTTTTGTATCCTGACGCAGAATAATTTTAACTTAAAGAATATAACTTAAATAAACTTAAAGAAAAGTAATTTAACTTCAGATAAAATATTCTCCTACAATTTGCTTTACAATCTTGCACCTTTTAGCCGTACCCAAACAAAAAAAAAAAAAAAAATACCCTGCATCCGATCGAATAGAGAACTAAAAAAAATCAGTACTCACCCCTGTGATGAAGCATTTGATCGCAAAGCTGCCACCATTGTAGTTGGTTGTGGTAGTCGTGCCAAGACAGATAAGCATCGTTGTATTATATCGTAGCGTAGGGTTCAGTTGCTTCACACATGTCACCGTCGATCGACGCATAGATGACACCCATTTTTTGTTTGTTTAACAATAAACTTTAATAAGTAAACAATTCTTGATTATTATACATTATATGTACAAGCATGAATAGGTAAGTCCGGCATGGTCTCCGCCGGATGAGAAAAAACAATCTCTCCATGACGAAAGAAAATGGCGATTGTCATCCGCCCAAAAAATCTCCGACCGTCCCGTCCGACAACCAGGGTGCAAAGTCCTCTTCGCCCCCCTCGTCTTTTTGTTCGTCCTTTCTCCTTCCGTCCAACGAACCACCTGCTCCGTCGGACTAATTATTTCGCTGGCTAGGCTTTTCCTTCTCCTTCTCGGGTTATGAGCATTACAGGGAGCCTTCTATACACATCTTTTGGTAAGACAATATCTGCTAATACTGTGCTCTGGTGGCTTCGCATGATGGAACTGTACGCCCGAGTACTAAGTGTTTGTGTTCCACCAATCACGGCACGGCATTGGGTCCAGAAATGATCGAACATCACACATTCTGAGGTGGCAGCATCATTGCGTGGGCTGGAATTTCGATGGGATACTTAGTTGTACATATTTAAAGACAATTCTGTGACTGCTACGAGTTATCGGAATGAAGTCCTCCACCCCATTGTGAGATTCTATGCTGCAGCCAGCTGGTTCTGATTTCCTCCTTTTGAATCATAATGCCTGTGCCCATCGAACTAATATCATTCATGAGTACCTCGAGTGTGAAATCGCTTCTCGTATGAAGCGGTCGTTGCATTCTTCTGACCTTAACACCATCAAAAGTCTTTGGCATACCTTAGAGTATGCTGTTTGCGCTCGTTAACCTCCTCCAGCCTGTCTCAGATAGTGGGAAATTGAAATGGGCATTGCTAGCATCTGCGATCGTGTATCACTTCAATGAAAGCACCCTGTAAATTTTGCGTGAAAGTTCAATTTAGTTACATACCTTATAAATTAAGTTTTGCTTTTTTTTAAATAAATTTATTAATGACCCAAATAAGGCTCCGCCAATTAATTTACGAAAATTAAATATTTTTTTCATCTTTGTTCATTACTTGTTTTCTTTCATGCATAAACACGTTTGCTGATATTATGTACAATTGGGTGTCAATGAAAGTTTTACTTTTCCAGTTTTGTTGATTTTACCTCATTGTTGTTGATTTAACTCTTGGAAGCTAGTATTATATGCCTGCCCTCCAACATTTACCTTCTGTGTGTATGAATTTTCCCATCACACCCTATAAATGCGAATACAGCTTATACATACGAATTGTTCCATCACAGAACAATGTATCTAAATTTGGCTAAAAATATGCAAACAATGTTCGCATTCAAATGGCGTTAAAGTGATTGTGCTAAAGCACGAATATTATGAGTTAACGTAAAGAAAATAATAATGAATAAAAAAAAAAGCGAGACAGAGAGGACGCAAAATTTATCTTTTATGTAAATATTTTAAATTTTACCACGAAATAAAAGACAAGTGACACTTTTGTTATCATCAGACTAAAGGCAGTTAAGTTCTTCGCTTCCAATGTCCGCTAAAATTTAGTATTTGTACCTGTGAAGTTTCTATTTGTATCAATTCATCTTGTGACTTGTAAATAAATATGTAAGGTTAGGTTTATAAGTTATTTCTCCCGCCTCCTTAGCATGCCTTCGTAGTGTAGTGGTTAACACGCTGGACGTGTATTCCAGAGGTCCGTGGCTCGATTTCCGGCGAGGGCGCTGCTCAGTTTTCATCTCTTCTGCTTCCAATTAATCTGATGTCGTAAAGTGGCGCCTGAACTAAAAGGGTGGTGGATTCTCCACACCCAGGATTTGGCGATTGTGTCCCCTAAATCCAAGTCGCCCTTTAAAAGGAGGAGTATATAAGATATTTCTCCAGCCTTCTTAGCATGCCTTCGTAGTGTAGTAGTCAGCACGCTGGGCGCGCATTCCAGAGGTCCGTGGTTCGTTCCCGGCGAGGGGGTTGCTCATTTTTCATCTCTCCCGCTTCCAATTAAAATACATGTTATGTTATTTGAATACTAAAATACAAAGGAGGGCTATCTGCGTAGGACGCGGTATGCCTTCCTGGAAGACGTTCTAAAGGAAACTGGCTTGTATTCACGCTACGCATGGGGAAAACCAACGGAAAGTAATAATGCAGCCGCTCGTTTGCCCTGGAGTCGAGCCCAGGTCGAAACATTCCGAAGCCTTAACCACTTGGCCAATGGTGGTTCCAAATAAGCGTGTCTGTTAGAGATGAATTACTTATTTGTAGCTAAAAATTAATCTGTAAGTGTGTAAAACATTTCAGCGTACTCCCAAATACAAAGAAAGAGAATTAATAAATGTGTGCAATGTATGAGTCTGGCTTTAAAAAGAAACCCCACGTTCCATCAAGTAAAATATTATCAACTTCTTTATAGCTTTCATCGCCAGCCTTTTCAAATCGTGAAACTTACCCGGGCATAAGTATGCAATGAACTGTTCCATGTGAAGTGAGCAGTTCGCTCCGAAACTTATGCATGGGTAAGTGTGGTAGTTACTTCCAGTAATTGCGGAGGGCATCGCTGAATGCCGAGCGGTCGTCGGATGGCAGATTAATAATCGATCATCGACCGCCCTCGGTTCGAAACCGCACACCGCACATAATTCGCCCTCACCACCCGAATCGCCTGTTCGTTTTAGTTTTCTACCACCATTCGATGGATGGGAAGAGCTGCAGAAAAGAAGCCGTGATTCGCAAACTAAGCGTTTCGTACTTGTTGTTGAATCGTTACAGGACGCAAAACTCTGCGTGATTTCTTCAGGGACTTGCTGTTACAATACTCGTGAAGTA